GCAAGTCTTCTGGGAAAAGTCTAATTATGCAGAAGTTGGTTCATTACAGGCTCCGACTATAATGTTAATGAGCGAACTGCAGGTAAATATGAACATTTGGACTCGAGGAATATTTGACGCGATCGTCTAATTACATTTTTTTGATAAAGGGACTCCAGTTGATTCAAAGTAAAATTAGTTGCTATGAAGAGAGTTGGAATTCAAGTAAAATGAAGCAAAACACTGTTGCTCCCGACATTCTTTTCTTTTATAATTCCTTCTTACAGTAATTGCCCACACACTCAATGTGGATTCATTTATCTCAACTCCGGAGTCCTCCAGGTGAAGCATATGCTGGCGCCATGCATGGTTTTAAGATTAAAAAGGCAAATTCAAGAACTGGGGCAACATTTACAGATGATTTAAACCACTATTTCCATGAAGTTTCAGGTTAAAGGTCACAAACAGCTCAGTTTATTCCAATCAAGCAGCCCAGATGAGATGAAAGGAATGATATATTTGCCTTCCAGGGACATGAGCAGATTAAGCGAGTGGGCAGTAAGGTGGCATATGGGCTATGAGATTAATCAATTTGGTCCTATGCAAAACCAGGCCTTTATTTTTAAGGAAATGATGAAAAACTTCTAGGTATTGATGCTCAGAGAGATTTGATTGTGCTAGTACAAGGAACACAGAAAATCAGCATGTAGGTCCAATGAGCAATTAGAAAGGCTTAAAGGAATGTTGACTTTTATTACACGATAACTGGAACACAAGAACAAAGAAGTCTTGCTAGAGTTATGCAGAATTTTGTTGAGACTATATCTGGAATACTGTGTACAACTTTGGTCTTTATATTTAAAAAAAGGATATATGCACATAGAAATAGTAGGAACTGCAAATGCTGGAGAATCGGAGACAACAAAGTGGAGAGCTGGATGAACACAGCAGGCCAAGCAGCATCAGAGGAGCAGGAAAGCTGATGTTTCGGGCCTAGCCCCTTCTTTAGAAATTGGGGAGGGGAAGGGGCTTCTGAAATAAATAGGGAGAGAGGGGGAGGCGGATAGAAGATGGATAGAGGAGAAGATAGGTGGAGAGGAGACAGACAGGTCAAAGAGGCGGGGATGGAGCCAGTAAAGGTGAGTGTAGGTGGGGAGTTAGGAAGGGGATAGGTCAGTCCAGGGAGGACGGACAGGTCAAGGGGGCGGGATGAGGCAAGTAGGTAGTAAATGGGGGTGGGACTTGAGGTGGGAGGAGGGGATAGGTGGGAGGAAGGACAGGTTAGGGAGGCGGGGACAAGCTGGGCTGGTTTTGCGATGCGGTAGGGGGAGGGGAGATTTTGAAGCTTGTGAAATCCACATTGATACCATTGGGCTGCAGGGTTCCCAAGCGGAATATGAGGTGCTGTTCCTGCAACCTTCGGGTGGCATCGTTGTGGCATTGCAGGAGGCCCAGGATGGACATGTCGTCTGAGGAATGGGAGGGGGAGTTGAAATGGTTCGCGACTGGGAGGTGCAGTTGTTTAGTGCAAACCGAGCGTTGGTGTTCCGCAAAGCGGTCCCCAAGCCTCCGCTTGGTTTCCCCGATGTAGAGGAGGCCACAATGGGAACAGTGGATACAGTATACCACATTAGCAGATGTGCAGGTGAATATCTGCTTGATGTGGAAAGTCTTCTTGGGGCCTGGGATGGGGGTGAGGTGTAGGGGCAGGTGTGGCACTTCCTGCGGTTGCAGGGAAAAGTGCCGGGTGTGGTGGGGCTGGAGGGGAGTGTGGACTGGACAAGGGAGTCACGGAGAGAGTGGTCCCTCCGGAAAGCAGATAAGGGTGGGGAGGAAAAAATGTCTTTGGTGGTGGGGTCGGATTGCAGGTGGCGGAAGTGTCGGAGGATGATGCGTTGGATCCAGAGGTTGGTGGGGTGGTACGTGAGGACGAGGGGGATTCTGTTTTGGTTGTTATTGCAGGGAGGGGGTGTGAGGGATGAGAGTTGTGGGAAATGCCGGAGACATGGTCGAGGGGGAGTTGGGGGGGGGGGGGGAGAGGGGGGGGGGGGGAAGTTGTGGTCCTTGAAAAACGAGGACGAGGACATCTGAGATGTACGGGAATGGAATGTCTCATCCTGGGAGCAGATGCGGCGGAAGCAAAGGACTTGGGAATAGGGGATGGCATTTTTGCAGGAAGGTGGGTGGGAGGAGGTGTATTCTCGGTAGCTGTGGGAGTCGGTGGGCTTGAAATGGATATCAGTTTCATGGTGGTTGCCCCAGATGGAGACAGAGGGGTCCAGGAAGGTGAGAGAGGTATTAGAGATGGTCCAGGTGAACTTAAGGTTGGGGTGGAAGATGTTGGTGAAGTGGATGAACTGTTCGAGCTCCTCGTGGAAGCACGAGGCGGCGCCAATACAGTCATCAATGTAACAGAGGAAGAGGTGGGGTTTCGGGACAGCGTAGCTATGGAGGAGGGATTGTTCCATGTAACCTACAAAGAGGCAGGCATAGCTTGGGCCCATGCGGGTACCCATGGCCACCCCCTTTGTCTGTAGGAAGTGGGAGGAATTGAAAGAGAAGTTGTTGAGGGCGAGGATGAGTTCGGCTAAGCGGATGAGGGTGTCAGTGGAGGGGGACTGGTCGGGCCTGCAGGACAAGAAGAAGCGGACGGCTTTTAGGCCATCTGCATGGGGAATGCAGGTGAATAGGGACTGGACGTCCATGGTAAAGATGAGGTGTTGGGGACCAGGGAATTGGAAGTTCTGGAGGAGGTGGAGGGCGTGGGTGGTGTCACAGACGTAGGTGGGGAGTTGCTGGACCAAGGGGGAGAAAATGGAGTCGAGATAGGTGGAGATAAGTTCAGTGGGGAAGGAGCAGGCAGAGACAATGGGTCGAACAGGGCAGTCAGGTTTGTGGATTTTGGGAAGGAGATAGAAGTGGGCGGTGCGGGGTTGGGGAATGATGAGGATGGAGGCTGTGGGTGGGAGGTCACCTGAGGTGATGAGGTTGTGGATGGTTTGGGAGATAATGGTTTGGTGGTCGGGGGTGGGGTCATGATCATGGGGGCGGTAGGAGGTGGTGTCGAAGAGTTGGCGCCTGGCCTCGGTGATGTAGAGGTCAGTGCGCCATACTACAACTGCGCCTCCCTTGTCCGCGGGTTTTATGGCGAGGTTGGGATTGGAGCGGAGGGAGCAGAGGGCTGCACGTTCCGTGGGGGAGAGGTTGGAGTGGGTGAGAGGAGTGGAGAGGTTGAGGCGATTGATGTCACGACGGCAGTTGGAGATGAAGAGGTCGAGGGAGGGTAGGAGGCCTTGGGGTGGTGTCCAGGCGGAGGGGGTGTGTTGGAGGTGGGAGAAGGGTTCAGTAGGGGGAGGGTTAGGTTGACGGTTAAAGTAGTAAGCATGGAGGCTGAGGCGGCGGAAAAACTGTTCAACGTCCAAGCGTCAGCGATATTCGTTGATGTGTGGGTGGAGGGGCACAAAGGTGAGCCCTTTACGGAGGACTGACCGTTCGTCCTCACTAAGGGGGAGGTCTGGAGGGATGGTGAAGACCCGGCAGGGCTAGGTGCTGTTGTCTCCTCTGGAGCTGCTGGCTGTGGAGGTGGTGGGCAGAGCAGCGTTGGCGGTGGGTGGAGCAACATTGGCGTTGGCCAGACTCAGCAGGTCTGGCAGCATCTGTGGAAAAAGGGTCACTGGACCTGGAACCTTAGCTCTGCTTTCTCTCCGTAATGCTGCCAGACCTGCTGAGTTTTTCCAGCAATTTCTGTTTTTGTTTGAGTAAGATCTATTCCTTTCCTAAAAAATACTTTGGTGAGCCAGGTGTTTTTATAAAGATAGTCTGCAGGTGTCACAGTCACCTTTACAGATAATATGTTTGGAGTCCAGACTTTATTAGAATAAGATAATTACCCATAGTCCACAAAAGGACCAAAGACATTCTTCTCTATTAGAGAGACTCAAAACTGATTATGTAACGCTTAATAAAATTTGGACTCAAAAATTAGCATCAGATATGGGGCAAAGTGAGGAAGTGGGCTCTGTCGGTAGGGGGACTGAACCTCTGCCATTGGAGTTATTCTGCATCACACTATAGTGAACAAGCCAATTAAGCTGGTTAGTAGGAACTGCAGATGCTGGAGAATCTGGGATAACAAGGTGTAGAGCTGGATGAACACAGCAGGCCAAGCAGCATCAGAGGAGCAGAAAGGCCCGAAACGTCAGCCCTCCTGTTCCTCTGATGCTGCCTGGCCTGCTGTGTTCATCCAGCACTACACCTTGTTATCTCTTAAGCCAATTAAGCTGACTGGCCCCCCTCTACTGAATTTAAATTCCCCAGTTGCCAGGATAGGATTTGCACATATACCTTTGGATCCTTAGTCAACTACTAACCACAAAACCATTTTGCTACCATTTCCATCACCTCAAGATGACCTTTGTGTCCCTCCACCCACACATCAACGAATACCGCTCACGCTTGTGTTGACCATGATGTACCTTTATGACTAAGGTTAAGACTCTGATGTGAACTCTGCGTGGGTGGATAATGCAATGGGTTAAAGACTCATCCACTGCATCAGAAATCAGACTCAGTGGATTTGAACACAAGCCTCATTCTAATCTCACAGGGAGCTTTCCAAATAAAGTGTTCATTAGCTATGCGCATCATTATTTAACAAAGTCTAACCAGAGTTAAACATGTTAACAAATTTTAAATCTGGTCAAACTCAAAGGGTTCAAGATCTACAGAAACTTTTAAAAACATCTCTATAAACTAACTTCTATCCAGTTCTTTTTAACTCACCATTCTTGTACAGCTTATGTTTCAAAAGGGTTAGAAGGAAGTTGGTGACTATTAGTTGGGTATAACAGTGACCAGTTAGATGTATGACATGATAATGAAGATTAATAACTCAAACAATTGAAGCAAATTTTCACACTTTCTTCCATTGTCAATGATACGGAGGATATTTTCAGATTATTATGATGACAACTGTCTATGAATTGACTGACATGATATGTTAATCATTGTCCATGTCTCACCTCACTGTGATTCCAGCTTGTCCATTGCTGCTGTCTTGCTAGAGAATCAATAGCCGAGTTACCATGGGAACCCAATAGTACATCTTCATGCATCATCCGTAGAAACACTGCAACAGAAATTTTACTTTTGTAGGTTAAACTACAGTTGCACGCGTTTATTTAGCACACTCAACTGATTAAAAATATACTTCATTTCACAATGCTGCAAAATCAAGTTTCTGAAAACACCAGGAAAATTGCAGTCACTTTTGCAGTTCCCCATTTATAGAAACTAAATTATATTAACTCACTGAGGTTGAAGTAGAAAGTTAAAATGAAATTCCAATCAGACTTCTATCCGAATTTTACAAAAGCTGCCTCTCCCACCTTACACCAGGTACAGTTCAAATCCAGAGATAGTAGGAACTGCAGATGCTGGAGAATCTGAGATCACAAGGT